ACAACATTTATATAAAAGGACAAAATTATGTTGGGGAACATTTAATTTTTTCCTCTCATGGACCGGAGGAAGAAGCTTGAGTTTTTTAGTTAGTAGGTTCCACGTCTTTTATTTTTATATATATATTTTTTTCACACCCATATAAATTTGTCCAATTGATTAAAAGGCCTCCTTACGGTAATTTTCTCTTAAATGAATTCCTTGGTTGCTGAACTAAGGGCGTGCTTGATTGCAAAACTTGGAATTTGTATGAAAAGAATAAATTCTAGATATAAAAATTATTAATTAAATGTGTTTGATTGATTTAATTTTTACACTTGTCAATCTTGTATTGTTGGGTAGATGAGATATATAAGCGCAGATAAGAGAAAGTGAATTAATTTTCTAGAAAATAAAAACACATTCTTCTCTAAAGAAAATGTTTTCCTTATTTTGAAGGAAAATATGTTCACGTGATCAACTTTTTGAAAATATTTTTCATGAAAAAAAATATCAATTAAACACTTCAAAAGTAAAACGTTGGATGAAAAGTAACATTTTTCATAGAAAATAAAGTTAAATCAAACACATCCTAAGTAGTGATGGTTCAGTTGCCTATATTTTCAAGATTGGTTTAGAAAGGAATTACATCTCCTGATATGATGTTTGTAGATAGGCTTCTTTTTTCCAAAAATATTTAAAGATTACAAATTTATATAATTTTAATATGTTTATATTATTATTTGGCTATCATCAGATACTAAGACCATTCAAAGGGGTTTGAAACAAAGCTATATTGAAAGTGCAGGTTACAACATTTGCAGCATAACCATCAAATAGTATTAACTCAATAATATTTCTACGACATTTTTTGAAAAACCTCAAATTAACATGCTACACATTAAAGAAGCAACAATTTATTTAAAAATAATTACAGAAAATAATCTGAATGAGAAATATGCTCTCTCTCATTTTAACTCTTTTAATTTGGATGCACGTTAATGATGGAAATACCATAATCTGAATGAACCCCTAAAAATTTTATAGCTCATGACAAGTAAAGTTTGATTGAGTCAGCACATTTCTCAAAAAGTCTTTCAACCACACGAAAATAGGAGAACCCTCCCTATGTTTATTTCGAACACTATCCAAAAGAAGGGTAATCAAATCTAGAGGAATATTGTCACTTTCTTCTAATGTAAATGTCATGATAGTCTCTATAGATGTGAAAATATTCCCTAAATGATTTACGTTTAAAGCTACAAGAAAGTGTTGGAACTTGTCAATTATTATACGTTCACAATCTAGGTCCAACATGATACGGCAATACTTCGCATTAGCCATAGTCTCTAGTATCCTAACTTCCATAGCATACAAATTGATGGATGTGCTCGTGAGAAATGCAAATGATGATATAATCGAGGGAAAAATGTCTTGCATTATTTCATCACAGAAAGGGGATCGAGTG